CCCACCATACTCCAGAGGATGAGATCATACACAGCAAGGACACCAGGGGGCAGGAATCCTGGGGCTCTCTTAGAATTTTGCCTTCCACAATACTGGATGATTCCATTTTTATAAAGTAAAACAAAACCAACAAAGTAAAAACTGCAAAAGTAATCTAAGATGATAGGAGTCAGATGGTAAGTACTTTTGTTGGGCGGGGCATATACGAGGCAGAAAGCATGAGGGAGTCTTCCGAGTAACATTCTATTGCTTGATCTTGGGGGTGATGACACAAATATGCACTCTGCGAAAATTCATCATCTGTAGACTTAATAGTTTTAGACTTTATGTGGGTATGTTATACTGTAATAAAAATGTTTATGCAAAAATGAGAATGATTCTCAGGGTGACTTCTTTAATTATACATAAAAATGATAACTAGCATTAAAATTGTTTATATAAAATGAGCACTGTTAAGTATTTGAAATTAGTATATGTCTTCAAGTCATTCAAGTATTCTGTTAAGTTTAAGCAATATCATTAATTTACTTGGAAAGTTTCTTGTAAAAATATGAAAAGCTAAATTTCAGCCTGGCTCTTATTCAAGTGATCATAAATTTGAAGTGCTTAAATCTGAGTGAGGATGATACAGTTTCTCCATTGCAGGAACTGTGCACCCACAAATTAAGTGTGGAGGTTCTTGTATGTGACACTGTATTTGGTGAATTGGACATTGGCAAGGAAATAAAAGGAGACTGATGGTCCTAATCTGATAAGCAGGATCAAACATTTACATTCTTAGGATACTCACCTAAGAACACCTGAGAGAAACATAAAGCTCTTCTAAGAGGCCCAAGGACTACTTCCAGAACTGGCCAGACCTAACCTTATTCCATTATCTACATTCCCATTTTGTTCCAAGTCAAGAAAGTCACAACATTTCCTAATGAATATAAATGAATGCAGCTCTCCATGCTAAGTAAACCAGGAAAATACATTTACCCCAACTTATTGTAATTAGCACAGAAGTCATATAAATGTGATATCAATGAACTGTAGCCCAATCTTACCTATAAATTTAACATAAAAATCTTAAATAAAATATCAGCAAATATAATGAAAAAATGTATTAAAATAGTAAGACATCATTATCAAGTGGCATTTGTTTCAGCAATTCAAGGATGGTTCAATATTAGTAAATAATTATATAATTTATAATATTAATTAAAACTAAGGAGAAATAAAACTTACAAACATCTGAAAAGACATGTGATAAAATTCAACACCAACTGGTGATTAAAAATACTCTTAATAAAATAGGACTAAATGGCTATTTCCTCAAAATGATAAAATATATCTGGGTCAACCCAAAAGCTGATATCAGGCTTAAATGGGAAAATACTAATGGCATTCTCATTAAGGTTAGGAATATAATAAGAAAATAAATCACTACTTTTATTTAATATTGTTCTGTAGATTCTGGAAACAAAAGAAGCTAGGGAAACAAAATAAATTAGAGGTAAACAATGTAAAAGCAAAAGGCATTTGCAGATGTTATTATTGCATATATGGGGAGAGCATAGAGAAATTCATTGAAAAACTTTTACAAGCAAAAAAGAATGCAGTAAAATGGATGGGTATAAAATTACCATACAAAAATCAATAATTTTCTTTCTTTTTTCTTTTTTTTGAGTTGGAGTCTCACTCTGTTGCCCAGGCTGGAGTGCAGTGGCACACTCATGACCACCCCAGCATCGATCTGCTGGGCTCCAGTGATCCTTCTGCCTCAGCCTTCCAAGTAACTGAAACTACAGGCATGTGCTACCATGCTTGGCTAATTTTTGATTTTTATTGTAGACATGAGGTCTCACCAAGTTGCCCGGGCTGGTCTCAAACCCACGGGTTCAAGCAGTCCACTCTCCTTGGCCTCCCAAAGTGCTGGGATTACAGCCTGAGCCACCAAGTCTAGCCAATAACTTTCATATATACAAGCAATAGTAGAAAGATAAACTGGAAAAGATCTTATTTACAATAGCAACAAAAACTAATATGTCTAGTAATAAACAATAAATATGTAAGATCTATATGACACAAAGTTTAAAATATTCTTGAGTCACAAAAAAAGATATGAACAAACGGAAAGATATAATATAATATGACATAATACATTTCTAAGTTCTTGCTATGTTATTTATAAGTTTAACTCAATCCCATAAAAGTATTCACAGTGCTTTGTGTGTGCAAGCATGCATAGACAAGCTGATGCAAAGTTTATACAGAATATCAAACAAGGAAGAAGGAGGAAGTTTTAAAAAAAGACCAAGAATGGAATGCTCTATCTACCAGACAGTAAAATATCTAAAGTAAAAAATATATAAATATATACAGTTAGATAATGAAAATAGTATGGTACTGATACATAACAGACAACTCAATGGAATATAATAGATGGTGTGGGAATAAATCCAAGCTCAGGAATTTTAAATATGATAAAGATATCTTCTCACATAAGAGAAGATAGACTATTCATTAATTTTTTTAAGGAAAACCAGGGAGACATCTAAAAAGCAAGATTGGATCTATAGTTCACATTTTATACTAGAATAATTTATTGGTATAAATATTTAAATGTAAAAATATTAAAAAACAAACAAAAAGACTCAAAGAAACTGTAAGCAAATTATTCCAGAAACTTCTATGAAGCCCTTCCTAAACTACTGTATAAAACCAGAAGTCATAATGAAAAGTTGTTTATCACTACTAAATAAAAATAGAATTTTTTTTGTAAAAAAAAGCCACCATAAACAAAGTTAAACACAAGCAAGAAACTGAGAAAAAATATTTGTATTCATATTATCACAGCAAAGGACAAAATTTTCCTCTTAATAAAGAGTTCCTACATATTATTAAGAAGAATCCTAATAAGCCAATAGAAAACTGTACAAAGAATCAGCAATTCCCAGAAAAGAAAATACAAATAGCTCTTCAACATATGAAAAGATGCTCAATCACCTTATGAAAAATAAATGATATTTAAACTACCCTAGGATGTATGTTTCACCTCTCAGACCAGCAACACATTGGTTGGAGCAAGTGTAGAAATAGTGTTCTCAGCCGGGCACAGTGGCTCACGTCTGTAATCTCAGCACTTTGAAAGTCGGAGGCGAGAAGATTACCTGAGCTCAGGGGTTCGAGACCAGCCTGAGTAACATGGCAAGCCCTTGTCTCCACAATAAACCAAAAAATCAGCTGGGCGTGGTGGCATGTACCTGTAGCTCCAACTACTTGGAAGGCTAAGGCAGAAGGATTGCCTGAGTCCAGTAGGTCGAGGCTGCGGTGGCGGTGAGCACGCAACTGCACTTCAGCCTGGGTGACAGAGCGAGACTGACTCAAAAAAATAAAATAAAGAAGAAAAAGAAATAGTGTTCTCAGACTTTTGCTGCTTAGAATGGAACCAGCACACGGTGATAGGGGATAATTTGGAAGCATCTATTAAAACCCAGTTCACTTTGTTTCAGGATTTCTGAGGATTTACCCTCAGATAAATTCGTACGAATGCCTCAGGGCCTAAGTTCTTGGTTAATTATTATAACACTGCTTGCAATGGCCAAGGATTTGAAATAATTTAAACTTTGCAGCATAGGGGACTGGCTACATAAATTATGACATATCTATACAATTAGATACTGTACAGCTATAAAACAAAGGAAAAAGTTCTTTATGCACCAATATGGAACGCCCTCCAAAATAAAATGAAAAGTACAAAAAAAGTGTGTACAGTCGGCTACCATGCTATCATTTGTGTAAAAAAAAAAAAAGAAAAAATAACACATTTTCTCTTATATGCATAAACTCTGTCTCCAAGAATGCCTAAGAAACTGATAATAACATCTATCATCAGGAATACGATGTGGATGGCTCAGGGACAAGCGAGGACTTTTATTGTGTCTCCTGTACCTTTTGATCTTGAACCACACAAATGTACTCTCCAACATGCAAGCACATTCAATTTTACCATGTGGGAGATAGGGGTGTGGCTATACTCCAGTCTGTCCTCGCTTTACCCTGAGCTTGGCTGAAAATAAAGCCTCTTGTTAATTCAAATAGCTGTTTGACTAAGGTACCAAAAGTGATAATTTTTCACTTGAAAACAAACGTTCCAAAATAAAAGTCAAATAAGAAAATAAAAAGGTTAAGAAAGAGAAAGAAAAACAGAGTTGCTCAATGACAGGCTTAGTACGATTACTGTTTGTTTAAAGTAATCAGACAAATATCAATCACAAAAGAGAAGCTGTGAACGTTCAGCTAAATTGTCTCTAAGAAAATATACTAAAACTTTGGTGAGGAGGAGAGGGGATGAGATAATGTTTACTTTCTGTTAGATATTTTCATATTTTGGGATTATTCTGATTTTTTGATATACTAATCAATTTCAGAAGTCAAAAAATTAAAATTAATCAGATCTAAATATAAAAAAGCCTATGTTGCCATTGGTAATTAAACATACATAAAAGTGTCTAGGCTAGTAATTCAAAAGAAAGAAAAAGTAACACCCAAAAAATGTTCATTCAACACCATATATAAAATATAATATATTCATATATATACACAAATATTCCTATAATTTAAACAATAAGAAGACAGTTCATTAAATGATAACATATCTACTAGATAGAATATTCCATTACATCACATTTGTGTAGACTACGTGGTAGTTGGCACACTGCCTATCATGTAATGCTGATTTTTAAAAGATACAAAATTTTATGTGCAACTTAGTAAAAGTATTCCAGTGGAAAACGGGTGGGAAAGTGGTGGAATTGTAGTTGAGCTTTTGTCTCACTTCAATACTTTAATTTCAAAACTAATCGTTTTCAGGTTTTTCAACTTCAACATGTCCTACCTTTGTCAGAATTTAATTTGACAAGCAAAACAAAATGAAAGATACCTGCTGGATAACCCAACAAGGATAGCTAACTACCCAGCATGAACTGTAGGCCTTTGCTAGGAAAGAGACTTACTTGCATTTCCGGCTGGAAGAGGAGGAGGAGGGGCTGCCTGGCGCAGGGAGCTGCTTCTGAAAGGCTGCAGCAGCTTCCCCAGGGGCTGGACACTCTCCACTACCGGCCCCTTCCCCTTGGGGCCGCTAAAGAAGTCCCTGATGTCCTTTCTTTGTCTGGATTCCTGGAGAAAACTCTCCAAAGATTTGTCTTTGAGTCTGAGGGAGGAAAAAAGTGAGGTTCTCTTCTTTGGAAGCCTAGAAGCATCTGGGAAGGTCTCTTGCAAACTCACTTTCTCGAGGAGTGTGGGGACATCTTCAATCTTGCTGCACGGTGGGGACGTGGATGACCGATTGGGCAAACTATGGGTGCGGAGGGCAGGGTCAGGAAGACTAAGGTCTGAGGGCTGGGCTGCCCTGGCAACCGAAGTGCCCAGGGAGAAGGTGGTTGATGCCCTGCTTGCCATGTTTCTCGCTGGGGAATGCTGGTCCCAGTCCTTATTGGAATTGTTTTTCCAAAGGCTGAGTGAGCGAGTTTTGGATTCTGGCTTGGTCCAGGCCTTCTTCCCCCCTTCAGAGTTGGGGAGGAGGGGCTCCAGGGACTTTCGGATGGCATTGGCGATGAGCCGCAGGGGGGACTTGGGTGGAGGCACGCATGGCTCCTCTGAAGTTCTCCCGGTCGGGGTCCCCATCTCCCCTCCAGCCCCTCTCTGGGCTGAGAGTGTCTCTCTTGCTGCCTGAGGGGGCAGAGAGGGGTAAACTGGTTTCAGCACCTGGCCACCTCTTCCACTCTCGGCGCTTTTCTGGGAAAGTTGCTCCCTGGCTTTGAGGCCCACGCTCTCCACAGGGATGGAGTTGTTCCAGTCCAACAGCATGGTCTTCTGCTCCTGAGTGAGGACTAACTTCTTTAAGCCTGGCCTCTTCTCTTCTGTGGGCTCTGGCCTGCCCTCCTCTCCCTTCCTGGGTCTACGACTCCCTTCTCCTGGGTCCTCTCTGGCCCTGGGAGATAGCTCTTGGCCTGGCAAACACCTGTGCTTTTCCTCGATGGGGTGTGGGTCTCTGTGGATGCTTCTGGTGTCCTCAAGAAGGACCTCTGCCTCCTGACACCCATTAGAAGCCATCTCTGTAGGGCTCATGAGACCCTCTCTGCCAGGGCTCACCAGACAGTACTCTGCCCACTCTGTTGCTGGGTGATGAGGCAGATACAGGGGAATTTCCTTGGGTGCTCCTTGGGCTCTAGCTCGTCTTAGAAAGATTGGGGTGGAAGGACTAAAATGACCTCTTGAGACCTGTGAGTGGGGATCACAAGCTGTCGCCTAGAGGGTATGGGGGAAAAAAACAGCAGTTATTTACAATTTTCCACTGTTTATTTACACAAAAAAAGCAAATCTCAATCCACAACTCCCTCTCTTCTTTACTCCAGATCCCAGCTACTCAAATTCAAAAAGGATTTGCCTGATGATTTGTTCTAAGTGGCTGCATGGGGACCTGCTGAGATCTGCCTGGAACTCCTGAAATAGCAATGATCAAGGGATCTTTTGGGTCTCAAATTAGGTGGGTAGGAAGCCAGGGGGAAGGCAAAGCATGGGCCTTGCTGTTGACAAGCTCCTGGGCCTGTGAGGGTAGCACTTGCCCAGCCTCTGGGAGTGACCAGCCACATGGTAGAAGACAAGATCTCCCTTGGCTTGCTAAACCTTGATCCCGCTAAAGGGTAAGTTCCACCCATAGGTAAGTTCTTCCAACAGCCAGGAAGCCAAGGCTTCTTCCTTGGAGGCCATCAAGGTAAGTTCGGTCATCCTCTGTACTGGAGCTGTGGTGGCACAAGGATGGCCTTTAAGACATTGTGAAGGCCCCTTTTTAAATTTTATTTTATTTTATTTTATTTTTTGAGTTGGAGTCTCACTCTGTTGCCCAGGCTGGAGTGCAGTGGCAGGCTCACAGCCACCACAACCTGGACCTGCTGGGCTCAGGTGATCCTTCTGCCTCAGCCTTCCAAGTAGCTGGAACTATAGGCGTGCGCTTATTTTTTGATTTAGTGTAGAGACACGGTCTCACCAAATTGCCCGGACTGGTCTTGAACCCCTGAGCTCAGGCAATCCTCTCATCTTGTCCTCCCGAAGTGCTGGGATTACAGGCTTGAGTCACAGCACCTGGCCTCTAATGGCCCCTTTAAACCTTAACCCTTGCATCGTTGAGAAAGTAGCTATTCCCAGCATGCAGGAATTTGGCCCTTGGCAAAGGCAGAACATGAGTAACTCCAGAAGGAGTGCTATGCCCTGCCAAGAGCTCTGTACCCGAGGGGCAGGTCACAGGAGGAGGCTTCACCAGGGCACAGATCTCTTCTGTCTTGTGTACTCTAATCCCCAGAGTCTAGGACAGAGCCTGGCAGGTAACAAAGGCTTGATAAACACTTAGGGAGAGAGCCCAGGCCTGCATCTTGGTGATGATGTGGTGTTCTACTCAAGGGGGATGCTGCCTCCTGGATTCTCGGATGCTACCAAAGCCATCCTCATCCTGTGCCTGTCATCCTTCAGCTGAGTCCCTCAATGCCCTCTGCGAGTTCCTCAAGGGAAGAGCACATGGCTAGCATCTCTAGACCTGGCACGGAGCCCAAACCCTGTTTGCTTATGGAGTGACTGTGTCCTTGAGAGTAACTGGGAAGGAGCAGCAGAATGAGCTTTTTTTTTTAAATTAGTGGTAGTTTTTACTTTATTTTTTATTTATTTTAGAGTTGTGGGGCACAAATGGAGATCTACTGTATAAGGAGGTTGCATGCAGGTACCTACCTGATAGTGGACCAGGAACTCATTGTGTTGCCACATCCCCTCCCCCCACCAGCAGTGTCCATCATCTGCTGATCCCACCCTTGTGCTAGTGTGACCTGGGATCAGGGTCCGCTTATGAGTGAGAACAGGTTGTATTCAGGTCTTTGTTCATGAATTTTCGTGAGAAGCACACATGAAGAAGCCTGGGGTGAACCCTCGCCAAAGCATTTCTCTGGCCCTGGCTTTGCACTTGGGTTGACCCAAGAGCACTTAGAACTCAGAGTTAAGGGTGGGAGGGTGTAGGGAGCTCAGCTTCCTAATACCTGTGCTGGGCCCTTGGGGGCACTCACCTGAGGTGGGGTAGAATCATGTGGATTATCCTCAGGGACGCCAACTGAAGAAGAAGATGGTGGGGAAGGCAAGGAAGAAGACAGTGAAGAAAGAGGAAGAGAGGGAGAAGATTCCTTTGGAGATGACATAGTTCTTTTGTTCATTGACGTCAAACCTACCAAGGAAAGAACACACTCTCCATTACAGAGCTGCTATTACTTTATTTTTATCAGGAAAAGGGCGGGGGGAGGTTAAGTATAGCTCCAATTCTGTAAGCAGAGTCAGAAAGAGGAAGATGTCAGAGCTGGATTCAGAGGTCCCCAGGGCCCACAGCTTGTTTCTGGGAGGAACTGATACAGGAGTAGCAGGTCCTGTGGGCAAAAGGAGATCCCAGGGCCAGTAGTCTCAGAACCACTGTGTTTTAGGCCCACGTGAAAAATGTGAAGGTGTTCCTGAGAGATGTCTCAGGGAGTCTCAGAGGGTTTCTTGGAAAGGCGAATTTGCCTCCAAAGATCCCGCGGAAGCCATCGTGGTTGGGAGCTGGGCTGTGTTCAATCACTTAGTCAATAAACCATCTGAGGTTTCTGCCCACAAGATGTCGGATCATTAGCTGTGGGCACAGACGGGATAGACATTCACGGCTAATGAAATGGGCTCTTCCTTCTCACATGTGCACCAAGCAGGTCTCAGACAGGCTGGGTAGTTTGAGGTTTTAAGAGAATGCAAGGGAGGGAAGGTTACAGTGGGTACCAAATCATTTGACGCATATAGGGTGGGGTGCATGCCAAGTTCCTGGTGGTCAGACGAGATGCAGGTATAACTGCTCAGAGGCTCACGAGAAAGCAACAGGGCCAGGCCCCTGAATACAGGCCTGGTTCTGAGCTGTGGGGAGTAGAAATCAACTAGTCTGTTTGGAACAAGATTCAGACAGTTGTGGCTGGCCTGTAAGATCAACCAAGCTTGTGTGGATTTTTTCTCTTCCTTCTCCCCTCAAGTATGGTAACCTTAAAGGTAAAATCTCAAGTGTTTTGTTTCCAGATTGAACCATTTCAGATCATTTTTCCTCAAATAGATTTAGAAAAATGCCACATACCCTTTCAGATCTGCCCACTCAGTATCCACCCTCTGTCAAACCAACTCTCCCATGAGCCATTGCAGCACTTAATAGACATTCCCTAGGAACTTCCCAGCCCTGCCACACTGAACTAGCCCATGCTCTTGTCTGACTCCTGTTTCTGGCCACTCAGGTGACCCATTCAGATTTTCCTCCAAGGTATGCAGCCTTCAGATTCTAGCATGATCCTCAGTGCAACATAATCCCCTGGTCTCAGTTTCCCTAAATCTCTGGGTGAAAGGCTCCTCCTCAGAGACCCACACAGGCCTGGCCAAACCCAAGTCCCACTCCAAGGAGGGCTCCATCGAGTCCCATTCACACAGGAGGACCATGCCAGTGGGTGCTCAGCAATCTGTCCTGCTTTCTTTGTACACAGATGCAAATATGTTTGGCCGTAAAGCCCAGCTCTGGGTTCTGAACAGATGCTACCACACACATACGGTTAGTAAGCTCCCAGAGGGATGCCGCCTCGAGTGCTTCAGAGGGAAAAGGTGACTCCGGGAACAGATCTGATCTGGGGGTGGCAGGAAGGAGCTGCCAGGGAGGCGGCTGGCCGGTCTCTCGCTCCCTGCTCCCCCATTGCAGCCCACAGTTAGAAAGTTCTAGCCTAAAAAGGCAAAAGTTGTGAGTCAGTTGTTGCCTTGCTTCCTGCCCTCAGCTTGCCAAATTCCTCCTTCCCTTCTTCCTTGCCCCCTCATTCTCTCTCTGCCATCTTCTGAGTCAAACTCCTTAACTTGTCTCGAGTCCCCTCAGCTCAACAGACTGCCTTTGTGTCCCTTAAGGAGCTGTCTGGGGATCTTCCTACACAAAGCCAGGGCCACTTTGGGAACCAAGCCTGCCAGAAAAGCCTCATGGCTCCCACGGTCACAACCTAGAAGCTTCTCCTTTCTCTAATCTCCACTCCTGCCCCACCTAGAAGGGTTTCTCTCTCCCCACGTGGTCCTCACGCACTGTCTTCTGAGGAGATGGGGGAACAAAGCCCTCGTTCAGGCCAAGCTTCTTGTCCCTGGACGGTCATTCAAGTCACTGCCTGGGAGGTGGGCACAGCCTGGAGAGGGGGTGGGGCCTGAGTAGAGATGGGAAACCTCTCCTGCCTGAGGCCAGTTTCTCTACGGGGGTCCTTTCAGGAGATGGTGAAGCCACTTCACACTCACACCAGCTGCCTGGCACAGAGCAAGTTACTCTACTCCTCAGTTTTCTCCTCCACAAACAGGCAGTCTAGTCACTGGCAGGGTGCAGTGGCTAACGCCTATAATCCCAGCACTTTGGGAGGCCGAGGTGAGAGGATTGCCTGAGCCCAGGGGTTCAAGACCAGCCTGGGCAACTTGGCAAGACCTCACCTCTACCACAAATCAAAAAATGAACTGGGTGTGGTGGTGCGTGCCTGCCTATAATTCCAGCTACCTGGAAGGCTGAGGTGGAAGGATCACCTGAGTCCAGCAGGTTGAGGCTGTGGTGGCCATGAGGGTGCCACTGCACTCCACCCTGGGCGGTGGAGTGAGACTCTGACTCAAAAAATATAAAATTAAAAAAAGCGCAGTCTAGTGCAGCTTCATCGGGGTGGTTGAAGGAATGAAATGTGATAAAAAGTGCCCCGTCGGACAGAGTAAATGCTACCTAGACATGAGTTCCATTCCTTTCCATTCTCTCATGTATACAAGTGGCATCCAGTAGACACTGCTGAGTCTCTGACCCATTCCAGGGGGGCTGCACACTCGCCCCAGGCAGGATTTCTTTTGCCCTTGGGCCCAGAAACTCTTCAATGGCTAACTGCAATCCCTCTCTGCGGCCCTTTCCCTGAAACCTTGGTATGGCCCACCCAGTGCTACCCTGCCCCCTACAGGGGTTTCGGTCCTGGGTGCTGCTGGCTCTTAGGATCTCTTTGTGCAGAGGGGGTGGATGAGTCAACCAGGGCCTGTGTTACAGCCTCCAGGGCGCCTCTGGGTCAGATGCTTGTGCAACCTACTACCTCCTCTCTGGGCCCAGTGGCAAGGGCGACCTTTCCCCTATACCCTAGAGGTCATTCTGGCAAGCATGATCAGCTGGGGGAGGGTGCTGAGTGCAGTCACACAGCCCTATCTGCCCTCCCGCTTCGGGCTTGAGATCAGAACAAGCCCTGATGGGGGCAGTCATGCTTCTGGCCAGGGGGCTGGTGTTCTGCTCCCAATGACAAGACCAGCCCTGCCCATTGGGGTTTCTTTTTGGGCAAACTGAAGATAACCAAAAAGATAGCTCTCGTGGCTTTGAGCTCTGGGGACTTTCACAAGGACTGGGATTCCAGGGCACAGCTTCCGAGAATTTGGGGGTTATGGATGGCTCAAATTCCTCTTGAAGTCTCGGAGTGCCCTCTAGCGATGGCAGCCTGCACACACCCATGTACTCCTTTGCACCCCAGCCAGCCGGTTTGCTCCTTGTTCCTTACTTCTTTCCTGTGTTTCTTCACTTACTCACTCAATTGCTCCCTCACTCACTCCTTCCCTCATTCATTCATTCATTCATTCATCAAACAAGGACTAGGTTCTTCCTCTGAGCCACATGCTGGATACTAGGCCAACAAATGATTCAAACTCAAGCCCTGCCCTTAAACCAGCTTTCACATACACTTGAGATCCAGCGCCTGATACACCTTGATAACTAAAAGCTGAGTCAGTCAGGCCCACCCCTGAAACCACGGGGCTGTTCAGCAGATCTCTCTCTCCTGCGTCTCCTCTAACAACTCGACCCTGCTGGGGGAGGTCTCCCACCAGCTGTCACCTCAGGCTGGGAGATGAAGCCCCCAGCGTGGGTAACACCCAGGGCTGGAAGGATTGGGATGAACCCTACGCCAACACAGCACCACCCCGGGCAGCAGGGCTCCAGGGGATTGGGCAGGGCTGGAGCAGGGCAGTAAGTGAAGTGATCCACCTGTGGCAATGTCAGCACCCCCATCCTTTACTCTTACTGCCTGGGGAGTCACTTGAGGCTGTCCCCAGAGAAGCGGCTGACCCAGGAGTGCCGCCGTAGGGTCCCATTCTGAAGATGGCCCCTGTCCCAGCTGACCTGGTGAGAGGGTGGTGGGTCTGGGGAATGACTCACTGGGCAGGAGTCAGCCTTGACTCAGAAGGAAGGAGAACGAGGGCTCTGTTCCAACTGCAACAACATTTCTTTCTTTCTTTTTTTTTAAACACATTTATTTTGTACCTTAGACCTTGCCAAAGTACTTTATCAGTGAAAGGAGGTTTTTGACAGATTCTCTTGGATTTTCGAGGTATAGGATCATACTTGTCAGCAAAGAGGGATAACTTAACTTCCTCTTTGGATACTCCTGATTCCTTTCTCTTGTCTATTTTCTCTAACTAGGACTTCCCAACTGCAACAACATTTCTTGATAGAAACCTCTGTGTAGCCCAAGGCCTCCCTGGGTTTGCCTCTTCTAGAGTGAGGCCGGAGAGGGAGTGGGTGCAGGGGGAGGTGGAAGACAGAGGGGGACTTGGAATCCCCACTCCTCACTTAGGACCCAGGGAGGGAAGCCCTGCTCTGTAACGACTGCAGCACCTGGAATGACTGCAGCACCTGGAATGTGGGCCCGTCGGGGTGCAGGGCATGTGGTCACTGCGTTCCCTAGTGGTTACCTGCTGCCTCCGCACCCATCGCAGCCCCGGGTCTACACTCAGCCCTGCTCATCCCAGGAATGCCGGGATCAAGGCCTGCTGAGAAAAGAAGCAGAGGGGTGTGTGTGTGTGTGTGTGTGTGTGTGTGTGTGTGTGTGTGTGTGTGTGTGTTGCATGAGGCCACTAAGCTGATGCTCAAGCCCAATCTGGTATATAGAATCAAATCACAGATTCCCTAGACCTCAGTTTACTTATCTGTGTTTCAAGAAGCTTGGAGTGATGATTGCTGGGGCCCTCTCTGGGTGAAACTAGAATCCTAAGGCTTCATAATGCCAGTGTGGAGGGGGAGGGGAAGGTCCCGGCCCTCTCAGAGATGGCTTCCTCTAGTCAGCAGCAGAAATAAAGTCAACCTGACATTTCATTTCTTGCCCCTCACAACCAGGAG